TAAAGAAAATGTTTATAAAAAGAACAATATTACCCAAACAGTTAATTCAAACCTAGAGTGAGCCATAGAAATACAATATCAAAAAGGAGAGAAAAGAAATATAATATATGGCACAAGAGCAATAATACTTTCCATTTATACTGAAATCACAGCAGTTAATTGTTTCCCACTTTGGTGACATGTAATAAGAGGAAATAATCAAGAAGAAAAACTGGATGGTAAAATTTTGTACATTTAATGAGTAATAGCAATTTTAATCATTAAAATGGGTACATGTGTATTATATGTGTACGTGCATTACAGACATAAGTATTAATAATATGTGCTAGACAGGTTTCTCTAGAGGAACAGAACTAAGAAAATGAATACATGTCACAAAAGAGATTTCTTTAATTACCTTCTGGTTGGGTGGTCCAACAATGGTGGTCTGCATGAAGAAGAGGCTAAGAACCTGGTAGATGCTAGATGCTTTAGGAATTCCAACCTGGTATTATAGTCCTGGAGGATTTACAGGAGAGCTGCTGATCTTCTGTCCACATTAGAAAGGCTAGAGAAGTTGGGTTCTGATGTCAACAAAGGCACAGCAGCAACAGCAACAACAGTCAGATGCTCTCACCAGCAGGGAGCACAGGTGGTCAGGCAAAAGTAGTCTTCTTTTTCCCTCAGACGTTTTTATATATGGGCTGCTACAGGAAAGTGATGCCTAGGAAATACCTTCAGAGATCTGCCTAGAGGCATGTGTCATAGCTGATCCTTGATCCAATCAAGTTGACAACCCTTTCCCGTAGATCTTACCTTCTTTATGCTCCTTCTTCTGCCATGTTCCCTGAGCCCTGAAGAGATAATACAGAGGTCCCATTTAGGGGTGAGCATTCAATAGACACTTATTTTCAGAACTTTGACCAGATATGAGTCTCTGCAATGACTGCTGCCTACTGCAAAAATAAAGAAGCTTTTCTTACCAATGCTGACAGTAGCACTAATCTATGGATAAAAATGAAATATTATATGGTAATTTGAAGGGTACAACATGTCCATTTAGCAAAGCAATGGTAGTTTCCTTACCAGGACCTATGGCCTTCCAGACTACAAGCTTTAGTCTAGGTTTCCAGTACCAGACTTGACAATCTTTCTGCAAAGTGGGTCTCAAATCCAATCAGAAAGTTGGTCATTCTATAACACTCATGTCACTATTGCATCAGTGGGAATATAAATCCTGGTACATAGGTTGTGGTGGCATATGTTAGGAATTTCGGAAGGAACAGAGAAGATCATGAGCTTGAGGCCAGCCACACCTTTAAACTTACATTCTCTTCCTCATCAACTTGTACATTCTTAAATATTTTATTTTTATTATTTTTTCTTTTATATGTATGAGGGTATTGCCTACATGTATGTAAGTGCACCTGTGTCTTGCAATGCCTGCAGAGGTCAGAAGAGAGCATGGGATCCCCTGAAACTGGAGTTATGGACAGTTGCTAGTCACCATGTGGGTGCTGGAAACCAAACCCAAGTCCTCTGCAAGAGCAGTTAGTGCTCTTAACCACTGAACCATCTCTCCAGTCCCCACTTTTTATACTTGCTATGAAAGTTTTAGCTGTTTTTCACTGTACACATGGATTAACGCAGCAAGTAACAGTATGCCACAGTTTGAATGTTCTCTTATCCTGAATTTTCCTCCACCAAACACATTAGTACATCACCTTTAAATTCAACCTTACTCAAGTTCTCAGGAGAGGCTGAATGCAGCTAGATTCTTTGCCAGAATCAATGCATGAATGGCCCTAGTCTAATGTCTGACTCTCCTTGGTCTTTGTCTGCCTCTGAAACCACATGAGCCAGGGCTCCACGGAAAATATTTTTCTCAACATTCTTATTCTCCATCAGAATGGTCAATTTAGCTCTCTTTACAGTATTGAGGGAACTTTTTATTAGGCCCAGGCCCCAACCAAGGGAATGGTGGCACCCACAGTTAAGGCAGGGCTTTCCCTCTCTATTAACCTAAGATAGGAAATCTCACAAGAAAGCCTAGGGGCTTATATAATAGAGGCTTGTCTCGGGTGATTCTCAATCCTGTCAAGTTTACAATCAATATTAACTATTACAATGTTTATCTTTTTTGAAAAATAAAATATGATCTGATTCACAGTTTATCTGTATCAACCTACAATACTGAGAACAATGGAGGCAGTAAGACTGGAAGCAGGGAAACGAGAGGTGGCTGAAGCAGAACAGAAGACTGGGATGTAACTGTCCACACAATGCTTATGTAGCATGCATGAAGCCCTGGGTAACATCCCCAGCATCTAATAGAACTACATCAGATGTTGGAAACTAACTATCCTGTTCAAGGCCAGTCAGGGCTACATGAGATCCTGTCTCAAAACAACCGAAGAAGAGGGATGAAGGCAACCTGAATATGGTGATTCAAAACAGTAAAATGCCGTGTCTGGTTGACTTCACCATACTATAAAGTAAAGCAAACAAGATTTGGTGGTACTATCTATAGGATGTCAAACACCACACAAGAAGGTATTTGCCTAAGCTATATATTATTCACAACACCATTTCATATTTTATAGGCACCTTACTAATGTCCTAATCAAGGCTTTGATCCAGTCTATGACCCTATTTCTTGAACACATCAGTGGCAAGGAACTCACTACTTTGTACAGCATTTATGCCATTTCATAATAGGGGTGGTTTATGGCCCCTTTTCTTCTACTGAGTCAAAGCTTACTTCCTTCTCATGTGACTGAGAAGGGATAAAAACCTGGCAGGAAAAAAGTAAAGCATACAGAGGGTGTATTTTTTTTTTTTTTCGAGAGATAGGTACCAACACATAGTTGGTATTTTTAACTGTCTGAGCAACTTGAAGGAACAATTATGGGTCATGAAGATATCACAAGATATTAATTTACTATTTCTTAAAGAGGTTTAAGAAGAACAATATTATAAGTCTCTCTATTCACTATGTTTTATGTGTGTTTTGATTCAAAAGATTTGCATGGGTCAGTAGCCATATTAAATAAAAGAATAGTATTATTTCTGTTTGAAGCTTCTTGCTGGTCTAGATCTCAGTTGCATTTAAACATATCATGCCCTTTCTATAAGGGGTGAAATGCACACTATGTATGGGTAAGTTTGGCCACGAACTAAATAGAATTCATGCCAGCCAGACTGAAACATATCAGCTGAGTATCAGCCGATTCAAACTATGGAGCAGCAGCTATTAGAGTGCCGAGCTTAAATGGTACATATTTCTATTTTATCTTTATTGTAATGAGCAAGTCCTGTCTTTAGCTCCCGCTGTGCACTTTTGGAGGGTCTTCCATATGGTTGCTGCTAAGTATTTGGCATTTTCCCAAATGTTACAATTGGGTCAGTGGGGGGGATCGCCTAGGAGTAATAAAACAAGGGTGACTGCAGCAGGGAGAAGATTCCTACCACACAGCAGCTTATGGCCTCTCGTGCATTCAAGCACAGCTCCATAGCGTTCATTACAACATTACAACGGGCAGCCAGGGTAACCAATCTTTTCTGCCATAGCATTTAAACACTCAAAAGGCCAAGCACTGGGTGAGTCTCTCTCCATAACATTTCCGGTTTCTTCATTTTCCCCAAATGACTAAACAACTCGAGGAAGACATGGCAATTATAGCTTGTAGGCTATTGTCATTTTAAGAAAGTTTCCTTAACAAAGCCTTGGTTAAATTTTACAACAGTAGCAGCAGTTGTAGCAGCGGCGGCAGCAGCCTCACATTGGTTAGGATTCTGATGCCTTATGAAGTGAAAAAATGCAGAAGGCAAGTCTGATGATCCGAAATGCTTAAAAATTGAGACATGATTAATAGATCTGGAAGTGAATAATAGTAACATTATTGAGTGTCTTCTATATCTGAAGTCGTAGCCAGGAAAAAATATGCAGTTAACGACCATTATTTGCTAGTGGGGCTTGAACCAGGGCCTGACATGCACACATGAGTTCTACCACTGATCTACACCTCCAGATTCAGCTATTATTTTTATCCCATGGAACGGAATGTTGCTAAGCACTACTACTATTTGAGAGGAAAATACGTTCAAAGCAAAATTACGATTCTAAATAGGGGAATAATACATTAATCAGAGAGTCGTAGGTATAAACATATGCACTCACAAGATTGTATTTTCCATATTCATCTTACACATTCAAGAATTTAATTGTATTTTTCTTTTAACATGATATGGAGACTTTTCATATCGACCATCAATCTAGACCTATGTAGCTTTCTACTAGCTGTAGTGGCTACCGTATAGCCACTTTTCTCCCTGACCAGAGTTATAAGGCATCTTTAGAATTGGAGACCTTTAAGCAAGTAGACAAACACGTGTGGACTTCTATCCGTTTCCGGCCAAGAACTCTAAACTGTGTTGCATTAAAAAACTTGCTTGTCACTTCATTTTTGGCTGCGCCATCCTGGACCCTGGGTCCCAGCTCCCCGAAAACAGAGGCAGGCAGAGTTCCCCAAACCCTGGACTGCAGGTGAAGCCGGGTGGGATGAAGGCGATGCAGGAAGCGGATCTCCTGGTGGTCAAGGCTTGCGCTCCAGACCGAGCAACCACCGCAGAGCAGTCTGAGCACTGGCAAGGGCCCCTGCACTGATCCGCATGGGAAAGTCCTACTGACCGCAGTCAGTCGCAGATGCACTCAGAGCGTCCAGGCGTTTCTGAAGTTCCCACACGTTTCCTGGGAATCCTAATTCCAGCTCCCCGGGGCGATGAGGTCAGCGCTCGGCAGGGCTACGTGTCGGAGGTGAGCACCGACCCGAACGCCCCGCGTCTGGCGCACTTCCGTGGCCCTTGCCCAGCCAGCCTCAGTCTCCTTGGGCCGTGACTTAGCCAGGAAGAGCGGGCAGCCATTGATGTGAGGGCAGCGCTGCGGCTTCAGAAGCGCAATGCGCAGGCGTGCGCAGAGAATGCGCAGGCGCCGCCTTGAAGTGACTTCTCCAAAAAGTGTCTTAGTTCCCGGTCACCTGAGCGCCCAGCTACGCGACTGCGGGAGCCTAGTGGTGCCGTGCCTTCGGCGGGTGGTGCTGGGAGACCCTGTTCTGTCCCTCTCGCCTCCCGGCCCGCCGCGTCAAGCCGCCCTAGGGCTTGTCGGTTCCTGCCCGTCCTTTCCCAGTCGGGCCGGACCGGGCCGAGCCGGGCCGCCCCAGCGCGCTCGCTAACCATGGCGTCCCTCTTTAAGAAGAAGACAGTGGACGGTGAGTTTTCTCGGGGGCCTCTGGGGGCTCTTCGACCCCGGGCTGGCTCGGCTGTCCCTGGGGGAACACCAGCCCACAGGTGAGAGCTGCGTGCTTCAGCCCCGCGCTGGGACCCGCCCTCCGGGGCTGCGACCCGCCCCCTGCATCCTCACCTGGGAAGCCTGCCCTGGTCCTTCCAGCACCAGTCCCCCACCATCGTTTTTTAGTTGTGATTTGATTTTTGGTTTGGGTTTCTTAGCATTCTGAGGAGGAAGGACTCGGCTGGCCCTTGGGTGTCATTAGACTTGGAGATTTGATGGATTTCTTTTTTCCTGCTTGGTTTGTTGCTCCTTCAGTTTGGAGATGTATTTCTTCCAGGCTTCGCAACAGGAAGCCTGGGTGTACAGGGGGAGGAGGCACGAGGAAGCAGGGACCCAGTTAGAAAACGAACTTGGGTCTAGGCTGGCTTTCCATAGGAACACCTAGCACTACAGCTAGGAGCCCCCAGTAGAAAAGTGAGTCCAAGGGAAGGCCTGGGTTTAGTTTTCATAATGTAGTTTTCTCCTTTTATGGTTTATTTTTCCCTTACTCAGGTGAAAGGTAATGTAATTTGCACGGACGTTCACATTTTAGACACTTGAAGTTATTTCATACATGTTTCTCAATGTCGTTTCGTGAAGGAAAAAATGAATATACTGAAGTATACATGTTTGATGGTGTTATAGGCAATGTTTAAAATGCATATATATATATATATGTGGATGCCTCCAGGTACTGAGTTCAAAAATTGCTTTCCCTTACATGTTGAGTCTAGGTTGGTGTTGATTCAGCCCAATAATCACCTCTTTGTAAGGGTCTAACCCAACCACAAAAGGAGCAGTGGTAGCTAGACTGTGGATGGTACAAACACAGAGCTCAACCCTGAGTTGGGGTGACAGTTCTTTGTACTCACTGTTCCAATGCCAGCACAATTATTTGGGGAGAATAACAAAGACATCATCTCTCCCCTGCTCCTTCACCCTTCATTTCAACCCAAGGTGTCATTTTACCTCTAGTTTTATCAAACAGCAGTTTTGCTTCTTTGGAGTGATTGAATTTTTTTTTTTTCTTCAGTATTTTGACTTTTTTTTTTTTAATTGAGAAATGTCATTTTCACTATCAGCTACTAACTTGCTATATGATACACTGCAATTATGTGAAGTGGGATTTATGTGTGATTTCCTGAGAATGCTGCTTAATCTTTCCGGTGCTTTGGGCAACCGTAGTGACTTACACTTGAAGTTTAGAGGAGAGGGGACAAAAGACAATGAGGATGTGCAGTGTGTGTGTGGGCGGGGGAGTGTTGCTGTGCATTCACTTGCAGTTGACTTAATCCTAATAACAAGAAAAATGTTTTTGCTGAATAGACTTGTTTGCTTTAAAAAAGGACTTTTGTTATGAAATGTGCTATATGACATTTCTGAATGTAAATTTGGACCCTATGTATATTTACTACAACTTCCAAGCTTCAGACTTGACATTTTATTAACTTATCATACTAATTCAGATCATTTGCTCATGTCTTAATTATAGATCTGCATTTCCATTGTTTTATTGTGGAGCTTTACTGATGTTTGCACCCCCTGTTAAATTAAAGGGAAAGATTTTTGTTTTGTTTAAAAGGTGACAGCACTCTTCTTAGTAATGGGACACTGTGTTATGAAATTTAATGTATTTTATGCATTTCCATTCTTGGGCACATTATTGATCAGAAGATCTTTTACTGTATGCTGACTTTTTATCTCTTCTAACAGTAATGAAATTCTGATATATAAGGGAAATGTGTAACTGCTTATGGATCTGGGGAATAATTGAATCTTTTTATGTCTGGATTGGCTGGAAGAATTATATACTATATCATTAAAGACTACTGCACATGTAAATTAAAAAGGGAGACAACATTACACCACATTGCTATTCCGAGTTATGTTTAATTCATTTTTGACACAAAGATGAACAAGTCTCGGCAATGCATACTTTGTTACAGAAATTAATGAGAGGTGTATCTCAATGCCATTGAAGAGGATTCTTGCCTATTTAAAATTACAATTGAACACTTGATCTCCCTTTTTCTGATTTGTATTGGCTAGACATGTATATTCTATAATCTGTTCAATCTACAATTTTTTCTTCTGGGTGGACAAGTAGTGACCTATTTATTGAAGATGATTACAAACCTGTTTAACCAGCATGCCACTGGGACCTGTCATAACTGAGTAACTATTTGTAGTTCTAAAATAGAGTGCTGGTGAATAAGGGCCTGGGTCTGACCCAGCTCTCTAGCACTGAGAAAAACCTAAGCAGTGAAGTTCTGTTTTGTTTTGTTTGAGATCGGATGTCATATGTAATCCAGTCTGTCCTCATAACTTTCCTGCCTCAGCTGCCCTGGTGCTGGGATGATAATTGTGTCCAACTGTGCCCAGCTAACAGCATATTAAGTACTGTAATTTTTATCTGTTATCATCAGTAAAGACAAATTTGAAGTCAAACTCTAAACTAGTACTCTACTAGGCATGAAGTCAATCAGAGAAAAGCTGCTATTGCCCCATTTCATTGATGGGGGAATTTATGGCAAGTGATTGAGTAATTTACTCATGATCATAAAGTTAACTAAGCAGAACTAAAATCTCAGCCCTTTAAATATTATCATTATTGCTTTTTTGTTATAGTGATCACATAGCACACACAGTTTAATTTGATAATCTTGTTAATGTCATGGAATTGTGAATTCTTTATTTACTTTTGTCTATAGACTGTTGTCTTAGAACTAATAGTGAAAATACTGGGCTGAAGGGATGACTCAGTAGTTATGAATGTACTGATCTTTCAGAGGTCCTGAGTTCAGTTCCCAGCACCCATACAGGGTATCTTACAACTGCCCATAACCCCAACTCCAGGGGATCTGATACTGTCTTCTGGATTCTGAGGGTACCTGCATGCATCTGCCCATTTCTACACACGGACATGAGCATATGCACACATATACATATAATTAAAATATAATGAAAATAAACCTTTTAAAATCTTTTATTTTTATTTTTTATGTGTATGAGTGTGTTGCCTGCATTATGTAAATGCACTCGTGTCATGCAGTGCCTTTGGAGGTCAGAAGAGGGCATCAGATCCCCTAGAACTGGAGTTAAGGATGGTTGTTACCTACCATGTGAGTGCTGGGAACAAAATCTGGGTCCTCTGCAAAAGCAGCCAGTACTCTTAACCACTGAGAGCTCTCCAGCCCCTAAAAATAAAACTTAAAAAACCCAAAGAGGGAACAGTGAAACTTTAATTTTCATAGTGGAAATGACCTCTGCTTTCTATGGTCCCTGTACGTTAGCATTTCATGAGAATGTCTTTGCTTTTCTTGTGAGCCTCTTGAAAGGAATGGTAGGCCTGATCTCCAGATTAGTTCTCAGGCATGCCTCCTCTGTTCTCAGCAGCCTGTGTGGCAAGGAATAGCATCACCACCAGTTGCTTAGATCATCAGTGACAGCTACATCACTTCTGTGGCATTCCTAGTGATCATCTCTGAGTCTTGTGATTTCTGTTTCCTCCTCATTTCTTCCTCATATTTCCTTCCTTTGGCTCAACACTTAATTTTCCTCATATTCCTCTGATCACTTCTCTTCTGTCTTCTTGAGTTTCTCTTTTTCTTTGTGTGTTTCTATGATTCATGTTTGTGTATGTGTGTGTATGCACATGTATGTGGAGGTGAACATGTAGAGGTTAGAGAAGAACCTCCTTTGTCAGTCTTCCTTTCACTTGATGGAGACAGCGTCTCTTGTTTGCCTCTGTGTGCCTCAGGCTAGGTAGCCTGTGAACTTCCGGGGAGTTGACTGTCTCTTCGTCCCATCTCACTATAAGCACTGGGGTTACAAACATGGCTACTGAACTGACCTCAAGTGGGTTCTGGGGGGTTCAAACTCAGGTCTTCACCCTTGCAGGACAAGCACTTTACCCACTGAACCCTCTTCCCAGCCCAGATTTTTCTTTTCTTTTTAAACCTTCCTCTTGAATGTTTTCTTCTTGGTTCTCTCTTGATTTCTACCTAGTTTTTCACCCTTTAGTTATAACTCACATGCCAATATACTCAAAATTTGCATCTCTAAATGTGTGCTTTTTAAAGATTTATTTATTTATTTATATTTTATGTGTATGTTTTGCCTTCATCATGTATGTAAGTGTAACACACATGTGTACTGGTGACTGCAGAGGCCAGAAGAGGGTATCAGATTCCCTGGAACTGGAGTTATGGAAGGTTGTTAGCCACCACATAGGTGCTGGGAACTGAACCCAGGTCCTCTGCAAGAGCAGCCAGTGCTCTTAAGAGCTGAACCATCCATCTAACCCTCAATGCCTTTTTAAGACTTATATATCCAATACTTTGCTGAATTTAAATTGTGTTTTTCTAAAGCAATTCAAATCAGAAACAACTAACAGAATTTTTTATCTTTTGAAATCAGCTCCTTACAGGACTTTCTTCTTCCACTGTTGTTAGTGCTTGATTTTTATCTTCCTCCTTCAGTTGATTACTAAGTCACTAATTATCAAATCCTCCCTCTTTGCCTTGTAGACTTATAGCACATTCCTGTGTGTGTTCACAGCTCCTTGCTCTTATTCAGATCCTGTGTCTGGCACTTTACCACATCCACTTTCTGCTTTTGTTTCTTGCAGCTCCCCAGGCCTTATCTCCTTCATATACATAGTTGATTTATGATTGGTATATGGGCAACTCAAATCTGACTCTGCTGCTGCTCAGAGTCTTTGTTGACTCTGGTATCCAACAGGATCCAGTGTGAGCTCTTTTAGTAACACTTGCGTGCATGCTTCTTCCTGTTCTCACTGCTACCTTTCTCTTTAGCCATGTCTCTGGAGTCTTACTATCTTTCAGTACTGTTCTCCTGTTCATCAGTATACTGAATGTCACAGTCCTTTGCACCCTCACTTGTTTTCACTTAGTTTCCATGTGCCTAGAATTCCCCAGT